CCATCTCACCAGCCCTAGACCTGCATTTGTAAATATCATATTGTGTCCCTACTATAAGAACCTGAAAAAGTAAATAAAATCTGAAAGATACAATGGTTACTATGAAAGGAAAAGAAGGTCTTCGAAGGGAAGGAACAATTAGGATGAGGAAAAAAGCAAAGAAAGAAGGGAAAATATATATGCGTATACACAGGATTAAAAAAAAAGAGTAAATAGGTCTCTGTTGTGTTTCATAGGATGAGCTCTGCTGCACTTACGTATTTGCGTTTGTGTATTACTATATTTTGTTCCCACTCCTGTCTAGTACATAAGCTTGACAAATGCAAAGAATTTCTTATTTATCACTGGATCTTGCATAACATAAAAGACAAAGTTGTTGTTGGATGATCAGTAAGAACTATGAAGCTGTTGCAGGCAGCTGAGTTAGATAGAAATACTACAGGCAGTCAGACAGGGCCAGGCTCTCAAGGAGACAGCACGGAAAACAAGATACGTTGCAACTGTGAGAGAGATGGATGCCCTTGCTGTGGGCCAGGACTAAAGAGCAACGATGGAACAGATGCTGACCTCCTAAAGATAAGCATCTGGGATTGATCATCACCTTGAGGAAGCGGGAAGAGTCACTAATCCACCTACTACCGGCTAGCTACTGGACAAAGTCCTGTTCTATATTTGTGCCTGCTTGCCACGTGACTCGCTTTCCCATTTGATCCTGGGCTTAATCAATTTTACCTGAGTAATGGTGCTTGTAATCTGATTGGTTGACCGTAGTTTTGTCCCATCTCATGCCCACTTAAGTGAGTTCCCATGTTCTCCACTTTAGACCCACGTGGCTTTATTCTATAAAAGCCCTTGGAAGAGACAGCTTCCTGGGGACCACCTGTTCAGGCCCCTCTTCCTGTCCCTCTCTTGGACAGGAGCTTTCTTTCCCCCAATAAATATATTCTGCTCATAACCTCCATTTGTTCCTAAAATTCATTCTTTGGTTTTAGAGGACATGAACTCTTCCCAGGTACCTTTCAGGCTGGGAGTTTCATTTTTCCCGCTATATCAAAGCTGCTTAAAGTATTTTAAAAAAATCATTTTATTCAATGAATGTATTGATCCCACGAAAACCTATCATTAATTTTTAAGTATGATAATGATGAAGAACTTCATAAGAACTTTTACTTAAAAGCTTAATTGGGATGTCATCTCTGAAATTAAGTACTGAATAGAAGCGTCTCTGAGCCACTTTGGGGCTTACCTGTCCCCTTCGCTGTTTTCAGTCAAAGTCCTTCTTAGGATTTTAATAATTGAAATTGATGAATACTGTATCAGAGAATAAAATTATAAATTGTTTTTACAGTGAACTGGCAAGATGCTTCTGGACTGGCATGTGGTCCCATGGTGTCGCACGCTGCTGGTCTGTGGCAGCGCTCCCAGGCGGTGGATGAGGAGGGGTCACCATGTGCGGCAGTTATGCTTTATTTATCCACTTGATTGACTTGGGCGCCTCCTAGTGGGTTAGTAGCACACCTTCCTGGGGCTGTCTGGGAGGGTCGTGGAGGTGTGGCCTTAGGTCTATGTGTTCCCCGCCCCCCAGGCACTGTTCCCCCTGCTGTTTCTGAACACCGTGAGCTCAGCAGCTTTGGTTCTCCACATCCTTCCACCATGAAGTTCCTGCCTTGGAGCCAGCTGGCCATGTACTGAGGCCGCTGAAACCACAAGCCAAAGGAAACCTCTCCTCCTTTAAGTTGTGGGTGTCAGGTACTATGTCCCAGCAACAGCAAAGTGACTAATACACCACGTTGGTCAGAATCTAAGAATCTGTTTTAAGACACTGCCCAGTACTTTGGGGCAGAGACAGAAGTGCTCCCCAAGTATCATCCGTCACCTCACACTTCCCAGTTACTCTGTGTTGAAGCAAGGTCACCATCCCCTTCAGGGTGAATGTGGAAGAGCAGGTGAGAGTCTGCCCCAGGTTACAGAGCAGCTTCAGTTGTAATCACAAACCACAGGCTGGAAGCCACATAGATTCTGCCTGGGGAACTCAGTACCTTGGAAAGTCACCTCTGAGCTTCCTTAGAATTTGTGTGAATGATAAACAAACCTTTGTGGCCTTAAACCACGGAAATTTTGAGGTCATTTGTAACTAATAGAATTTGATCTAGCTTGGCTAATGTATTCTGGAATGGTGTTCTGCAAGGTTTCTTTTGTTATGTTTTGCAGTGTTGGGGGTTGAACCCAGGCCCTCAAAATGTGCTAAGCAAGTCCTCTACAATGGATCTACATCCCCAGTCTTCCTTATTTTATCTTGAGACAAGGTCAAGTTTGCTGAAACTGGCCCCAAAGTTGCAATCTTGTGTCTGCCTCTAGGGTAGCTGGAGATATAAGTTCATGACACCATGCGTAACTCTAAAAGATTTTGACATGACCCTCAATAAGAAATATGTTTTATGATGTGAGCTAGCGTGCATGTGTGAGCACACGCATGCATGCACGTGCACACACACACACACACAGAGGCATGCACACCTTAGAAACAGATATTCCAGGAAGCAACACTTATCTTTGATGTGAACCACCTAGCCTACTCTGCTCTAGCCTCCTAATCTAGTCTATTAAGAAAATGCTGGTAACGACTTCCTAAACTGAATTTGACAACCCATTACTAGTACCTGAGTGTGAAAAATGCTGCAGTTGGTCATTATTTGTGTATGCTTTATATGCTAATTATGTGTCTCATGCCTTCACCCAAGTAGGCTTTTTGGATTTCTCTTGGGCAGCTTTCCATTACCTGCCCCTTTAATGGGTGGACGTCTTCAAATAAGATATAGTACATCCCACAGAATTTCTGGAAGGTTATGTTTTATTGTTGTGTCTCCTAATTTACAACATATCTTTTTAAATTTGCTTATAAAATTTTGTCACAGGAAGTAGCAATGACAACCTGAATAATTGTTATTCACTTATTTTCATTTTTTAAAATAAGTGACTATAAATAGCTGTCTCTTGTGCTAGCATCAGGGATATCATAAAAACATCACTAGCTGGACATAGTTTAGTGTTAATACTGCTGCAAAAAATGAAATAGAGACCAAAGATTTATATATAGGACTATATATATTTTATATACTGTATACTCATATCAAAACTTGCTGTTTCTATTAAGAAGCTGGTAGGTTACTCTCTAATTTCATAAATTATACCACAACTGTGAAAATATGGACAACTATTTTATATTTTTGCTGCTTATATAAGACATTTAATGTTTATACAGAGAGCTGCAAAATTACAGAGGTGACATAATGGGAATTGAACATTTTCACCTGAATTTTCACTGACCTTTTTCTTCAGCCCAAATCAACTTGGTATTCTCTGAATATTCTTTTAGAGATGAATATGGTGTCTGTTTCTTCAATAAATACACACACACATTTCAGGTATATGTGTGTATGTACATTTATACAAGTGTATATATACACATATATACACACATGTGTATAGTCTACATATGTATATATATTTCTGTGTGCACCTGTAATACATGCACACATAATGTCCTTTGGTTTATTTTCAGACCATTAATGTGAAATGAATTTTCAATGATTTCCATTAATTTTCTCTTTAAATCTAAACTGGTTTAAAAAGACCTTTGCAACAAGTAATAAATTTCTGTTAAAAAAATCATAAGTCGTATCATACTTCAAAGCAGGATGCGGAGGAATTCCCAAGGCGCTGGAGAAGGCAGAAATTCATGCCAGTATAGGGGAGGAAAGAGCAGTGAGGTTTCTTTCTCCAGGTTGCCACTGTGGGGGGACAGAGCAGGGCCCCGCATTGCTGGCTTTACTGAGGGGGACTCTAGGCTGGGTGGGAGGGTGGGGCTGGGAGTGGCTGAGAAAGAATTATTTCGTGGGAACAGCTGGGCGCTGGGGCTGGGCATGAGAGGCCAACTCCCAGGAAGGACCAAAATGACCGGAGGCCACTATTCAGCAATGAGGTGGTGTGTTTTGGGCTTGGTGGCTCTAACGGTGGGGTTGTGCGCTAGACGCTGTCATGGGTTTCTGAGTTGCCGACGCGGCAACTGTGTGCTTTCCTGGGGGGGGGGTGCTGCCTGCTTCCTTCCACCAGCTCCTGGGGTGAGAGGCCCGCGCCTCTTGGCATGGCGAAGGTCCTATCTCCAAAGGTGCCATTTGCCCTTGCGGCCCCTTGAAGGACAGAGGTCACTTCCACACAGAAATCAAGTCATCCCATGAAGGGCTGCGTTTCTTTCCAGTGATGTTTTCAGGAGATCAAACCCTGACTAGGTTTGTGTAAAGCTGTCAAAAAAATAGTACTCATCTTTCCTTTCCCTGATATCAGATCAGGAATCTCAGAATGACTTAGGAAAATGAACATTTCTATTTTAAAAGCTAACAAAGCATTCATCCCAGATGTGTCATCAGATCTGCCTTAATTTTTTTCTTTTGGGTAGATACGGGAGGACCCCCGCGTTTGCGGGGGTGGGGGAGGGGCAGACTCTATCCAAACGGGACTTGAGCTGCCTCTGTAGATTTTACTGTCACCCAGAGCAGCTGGCGACAGACAGCAGCCTGCTGAGTCGGTGAATTACCGCGGTGGCCCTCGTGGAAAAATTCCCAACGCTCTCGCTTTTGAATCTCTTTCCCCAGCTCAGTGATTCAAGCTCTCTGCAGACGGCATCCTTCTCATGGTGTCAATGTAATCTTTCCTGACAAATCTTTCTAGATTCCAGCCATCTTGGTGGGAAGGGTTTGTGGTCCTCCCTGCGCCAAGAAAGCTGCAGAATGTGCTGTCTCCGTCAGCTCTGATTTTCTTGTGACTCCTCGGAGGAGGCCACAAACAAATGTTCTTGGGTTCCCTGAATGTAGCTTTTTCCATGTGTCCTTCTCTCAGATGTGAAACGTGTGGGGGAGGGGCGCTATCCCAGCTTTGCTCACAGGACACTACTCAGTGGAACCACAGGAATGAGGAAGGGAGAGACACACACGGGGTGAAGATGTTGGCGGGCACGCTGTCTTTGGGGCTTCCATCATAATTATAGAGGTTGCTTCCATCATAACGAAAATAATCATGGACAGTGGGTGAAGCTGCTGATCGGGAGGACAGAGTCGCCTGGGTGGGGCGACAGTGATTGCTGGGTGCTTGGCAGGACGCAGCGAAGTGGAAGGGGACACAGGGCTGAGGGCAGAGGAGGGAGGCTGCGTGGCTCAGTTCTTGCCGAGGATGCTCTTCAAGCTCCTCTCCACGGCTTCGTCCAACTCCTCCTCCAGCTCCTGTTTCTTGGACATGGCCAGCTTGGACTGGTAATCCCGCACCACCTGGTCGATGTACGGGGCGCTCTGCGTGCCGTGCAGCATGAGGGTCCACTCCTTGAGCACCCCCTTCTGGGGCGAGCTGCCCACGAAGCCCAGCTCCAGCGTCCAGGTGCCCCTGGCGTCCTCCCCCCACGTGTGGGTGGTCATGAAAGGCCACTTGTCGAAGCCCACCTTGGAGTCGTCATCCCGGGGCCGCCGGCTCAGCAGAATGGACTTGGTGCCCATGGGTGACGTCATGTTGATGTTCAGGTCTCCTCGCCTGGTGGCATTGACCGTGATGACGGCCTGCACGTGCTCCAGGTAGCGGACGAAGTTCTCTTTGCCCTCACAGGCCGAAGTGGTGAGTGTGAGCACCAGCTTGCCGGAGGGCGGGATCTTCCTGCGGAGGGAGAGAGGGGGAGGCGGTCAGGCAGGGCAGGCACCAGCAGGGCCTAGCAGGCAGCCCCAGGAGGGAGGGGGCAGTGCTTGGGGTTTGGACCTGCCCCGGAAGAGGGGAGGCAGCAGGCTGCTTGGGGGCCCCTTGGCGTCACCTTTCACACCCAGAGCCTTCTCCTTCATGCAGCACAGCCGGGGAGCCAGGCTGAGTCCTGGACTGATGATTGATGGTGGGGCCCCCTGCTCAGTGCCGGTGCGAGGGCACTTTGTGCCAAGCTGGGTTAAGCCTCCGTGTCTATGATGGCACTCGCCCCCCCCCTTTCCTTCCCTCTTTTTTCTTTTTCCCCCTTCCTTCCTTGTTTCCTTTCTTTTTTGTCTCCCTCTCTTCCCCCTCCCAACCTTTTTTCTCCTTCCTTCCTTCCTTTCTTCCTTCCTTCCTTCCTTCCTTCCTTCCTTCCTTCCTTCCTTCCTTCCTTCTTCTCTCTGTCTCTCCTGTCTGTCTCTGTCTGTCTCTGTCTGTCTCTGTCTGTGTCTGTCTGTCTGTCTGTCTGTCTGTCTGTCTCTCTCTCTCTCTCATAAAGTGCCAGGTATGCTGGGACACAGATGAGCCCTCCTGTGTCCCAAGCGGAAACATGCAGCACCATCTGTTTCACACATACCTCATCCCCATCACCCGAGTATAAGGTGTTCAGGGTGTTCAGTGCACCTGGACAGTTCAAGCTAGGCCCATCGCACAAGTCAGGTGTAGAACCCTCTGCCTGGGGCATCTCACTGGTGCTCAGACAATTTTGGAGCATTTCTGATTTTCAGGTTGGGGAGTCCTTAACTTGTTCTCCCATTAAAAGAAGTTGAAGTGTTTCCTTCCTTTTTGTCTCCCTCTCTTCCCTCTCCAACCTCCCTTTTTTCTCCTTCCTTCCTTCCTTCCTTCCTTCCTTCCTTCCTTCCTTCCTTCCTTCCTTCCTTCCTTCCTTCTTTCCTTCCTTAATGCAGCCTAGAGAAAGGCAGTCCTGTGAAAGGTCAGGACACTTTGAGGAGGTCTTTGACCCCAGATTTGGAACCCCTGGGGGTTTGGCCTAAGCATCTCCTACAACGTTCCCCCACTAGTGTCCTCCTAAGCTGGCCTCCTTCCCACGTGAGAAGCTTGGAGGTCCTGGCAGTGGGGAGCTCACATCTGAGGTACACCACCTCTGAGGACCATGTAGATGATAGAAGAGCCCTGCCTACGGGAATCCACTTACCTGGATAAGAATTCTGCATTTAGGCTTAGGATCATGAAGTTTGGGCAAATTATTTAGGAGCTGAAAGTCTCACTGGCATTGTGAACAATCTTGTGAGGTTAAGTGAGACTGTGTGTCAAGCCCCAAGCACAATGCCTGGTGGGCACATGGCCCAGGTGCACTTTCCCAGGTCCCTGCCTATGCTAACACCCTCCCCTTCATGGCATCTATGCTGGAGCACAAAACAGAGGTAAGAGGTATGTTCACAAAATATGATAAATGTTTAAAAAATTGTTATAATGAGAGACTCATCACCATTAACCCCTTTGACTCACTCTCCTTTGATTCACACACACTCATCCCACCCTTCTTGCCACTTTTTGAAGCAGCTCTAGAGTCCTTTTTCCTGAAAGTCTTTAATTGTTCTGTCCTGGATACTCTCGTGTCCTGAATCCATTCAAACCATTTATGTTTCAAGCTCCCTTTGACTTTGGGGAGGAGCTAGAAGTCACATAGAACCAGATCTGGTGAATAAGTGAGGAGACATGGCCATGTTTCTGTGAGCCAGCCTTTCCCTTGGGTAGCCAAGTGTGTTCTAAGTGGGGGGAAAGATATTGAGGGGGGTTAATGACAATGTGACTTTTTACCATAATAAATTTTAAAAACATAACATTGCCATATATTTTGATCATTTTTTTTTTTTGTGGTACTGGGGATTGAACTCAGGACCTTGTACTTGTCAGGCAAGCACTTATTTTACTGAGCTATCTCCCCAACCCTTTGATCACATTTCATATTTCCAAATTCACCAGCATTAGAGCCTATAGGGTCACAGCCTTAAGGAGCTAAGGAAGGACCAATCAGGGTGTGCCTGAGCTCGGTGCTGGGCAGCCAGGCAGGCCTGGTAGCTCTGCTCTCCTGTAAGGCAGGTGTTGCAGGGTGCAGTGGCTGCAGCTCCCCTTGAGCTAAGTCAAATATCCTTTGCCGACTTTCTTGATAAGTTTTCTTTGGAAAATTGTTTTTCAAATTGACTCCTCTGGGAAGGTAAATGCTAAGGAAACCCGCAAACCTGTCACTCACCACCCTCTGTACTCCACCGCCACTTGCAAGGGCCATTCCAGGATCTCAGGGTGTATCCAGGCCTGGGCCCTTCTGAGTTCGTGGCTGGCCCACCGTGCCTGTGGACAGCACTTTGAACCCTTCTGTGTGCCCAGGGATGCTGGCTGAACACTTTCATTCCTCCTTCATTGAAAGCATAGGTGCTGGTGTCTAAGTGTCTGGCACTTTTGGAGGAGGCCCTGGGACAGACCCCACACCAGCCAGCCAGGGTCACTCTCTGTGAAGTCAGGCCAGGGTGATTCTCTGCCTCCCTTGTGTTGGATGCGGTGCCCCTTTCACAGGAATTTGGGTTAAGTGAGCTACTGTGAACACAGCAGAGCCTTCAACTGATGGAGACCACTATGAAGGGGCTCTGAGCAGGATTTAATACTAACCAACTGGTGTTGCATGTTTCTGTGTGAGACTGCCCAAGGCCTAGGCCTCTTGCCTAGAGATGGGCTGAGGACTCATAATAAGTGGACCTCTGTGAGTCTGTGGTCCTGACTGAGGCCTGTAATGACCAGTGAAGCTGGCAAGCCTCAAAGGACAAGATAAGGCCAGGGCTGAGGCCTTATCTCAGTTAATTTTTTTTCCAACCCCAATAATAAAAAGCCAACTGAAGCTGCAGGCTTTGTACTCCTACAATAATGTCAATCTAAAGATAAGATAGTTCTGCTAATTGACATTATTTACTACTTGAGAAAATATTTCCCAAAGTCCTGCTAGATTCCTGTGTTTTCTTCAGGACTTTCCTCCTTTTTTTGAAAACCAAATAAATATAGGCCGCCCAGAGAAGTTCTTTGTCAGAATCTAGAGGATCTCAAATTCGGTGAGAGAGTTTGTGATCTTCCTAGAGACCTAAAATCATACCACTTGTCTCATTTATTTACGTCTTCGCCATCTACTTGTTTGGGAGATTGTGGGCCTGATCAGTGTGCAGCAACCAAGGGATATTATTAATGTGGGGTTTATTAATGTGGGATATTATTAATGGGGATGCTTAACCCCCCAGTTCCACTGCACAGCGGCTCCTGTCTCAGCTCTCTTTCTCAGTTACTCCCAGAGGACCTCAGAAGCCCACAGCGATGGACCCTCTGGCAGGGCAGTTCGGGATTTGGGGAAGGTGAACACCCACTAGGCAGGTTTTCTGGAGGTCTTAGGGGAGTGCTTTTTAGGAAAAGTCCCCCAGGCTTTATTTTGGGACATATTAGGTCATTCGGGTGGTTGTTTAGATGGAAAAACTCTGTGTCTTAATTTTTATAACCTAAAATGTGTGTTCAAAATATATAATGAATGTTTAAATTAAAAAAATTATAATAGCAAAAGACACATTGCCGCTTCCGCCATAGGACCATTGAAGAACAGTAGCTGTGGCCCTCCGCTATCCCATGGCCTCAACAAGGGCCACAAGGTGACTAAGAATGTGAGCAAACTGAGGCATAGCCCCTGTCATGGATGCCTCACCAAACACACCAAGTTCGTGCAGGACATGATTCAGGAGGTGTGCAGCTTCGCCCCCTATGAGTGGTGAACCATGGAGCTGCTCAAGGTCTCCAAGGACAAAGGCATCCTCAAATTCATCAAGAAAAGGGTGAGGACGCGCATCTGTGCCAAGAGGAAGTGTGAGGAGCTGAGCAACGTGCTGGCCGCCATGAGGAAGGCAGCTTCCAAGAAGGACTGAGCATCTCTGGAATAAAGCTTTGAAAAAAAAAAAAAAAAGACGTATTGCCGCCAATTCCCTTCAAACTCCTCCCCCTTGCTTTCATCACACTTATCCCATCATTCTTGCTACTTTCTGAAGCCTTCTGGAAGTCCTACTTCATGAGTGTCTCTCCCCTCCCCTTTATGTATTTGGTATGGGGTCTCCCTACACAGCTCAACAGCTCAGACTTGTAGTGATCCTCCTGTTTGCAGTCTCCCCAGCACTGGGATTATAGGCATGTGCCCGGTCGCCTGAACTTGGTCGCCGACTCAGTGTGCCCCAGGGGCAGGGCCTGCATAGCATGTGGGACTGAGGGTGGAACTCCGGTCCCTGAGCTTGCCTAAGCAGGTGCTTAATTATTTCATGAATGTCTTTAACGTGAATGGTACTGCCGAGTGCCCACCAGCGGGAAAGCAGGCTTTCAAGAGGGTGCTGTGTCCCCACCCACCTTAGTCACAGACCTGGCACTGTGTGACTTTTGGCTTTTCCTCACAGTCAAAATGGCCAAGAGGCTGGCAAGATTGCTTAGTGGACTAAGCACCTGCTTAGGCAAGTGCAGGGACCAGGGTTCGATCCTGGTCCTGGAATCTGTGCAGGCCCTGCTCTGCACACCTGTAATCCCAGCACTGGGGAGGCTGAAAACAGGAGGATCACCAAGAGTCCAAGCTGTGTAGTGAGACTCTGTACCAAAAATACATAAATGAAAAAGAAAAAAAAAATGACCAAGAAAGGAAAACATTTTGAGTCAGTTCAGGACACTGAGAGAGCCATGGCAGGGAAACTAAAGACATTCAGCAGACAGAAGTTCCAGAGCTGCTCTAGAAAGTGGCAAGAATGATGGCATCAGAGTGTTTGAATGAAAGGAGACTTGTGAGGGGCATTAATGTGTCTTTTGCTGTAATAAAATTTAAAAAACTTAAACAGTCACAGACTTTTCACTCATACTTCACAGAACAGAAACTTGACTCCTCTTTTGATCTGAATACAGGCCTCAACTCAGAATGATGTTAGCACTTCCTCAACCTTGCTATCAAGCAGCCTGAATTTTCATATTTCAGCCTAATCACTACAAGTGTTTTTACCACTCTAGAATTACTGGGGCCACTAGACCTGCCACTAGAGCTTTTAACTAAAGCCTGTAATACCATGCATTTTTATCTATTGAGTATAAAAACACTGTACTACAATGGGGCCCATAGCTAAGGCGGGGCAGGGTGCCTCGTCTGAGTGGTGAAGGCAGGATTCGAACTCAGTTCTGTGGCACTGACAGAGCTGCAGAGCTGTAGAGAATCCCAGACCGAGGACAGAAGAGACCTTGGGTCAAGCTCAGGAGACCGCCAGACACAAGGCGGATCCCTGAGATAAAGGGGCGCTGCCCTCACTTACTCGGGGTCCTGCACGGTGCCTCCCACACAGTGGAAGCGCTCTGGCACGGTCTTCCAGTCTTTGGCCATTTTCACCATGGCGCCTGCATCCAGGACCCCGTAACCGAAGAGATGATTGAACTCCAGGCCGACCCCGTTGCGCCGCCACTGGTGCACCTCGTCGTGGAGCTGGTTGCGTTTGGAGGTGAGCACCGTGAGGTGCTGCATGTCGCGCCAGGTCAGCTCCAGGCTGGGTGCGGGAGGCAGAGAGTGCGAGAATGAGGACAGGGGAGCAGCAGAGGAGGAGGGAGACACACAGCTAAGAGGGGTGACACGCGGGACACAGGCCCTGGGGAGGCTGCAGAGCGTTTGTGCATTCCCACTTGGAGGAGGGGTGCATACATCCGTTAGAGCCACTCTCTGTGTCAAAGTAAAAACCTTCTCGCCGTTCCCGTTGAACACTGTTGTTCAAAAGAACATTCTCATGTGTGCATGTGCGCATGCGCAAACACTGGACTGGCTCAAACGAAGACGGGTGACACCAAGCGTTGACACAGGCGCAGGGCAGCGGCCGTGTGTGAATAGCTTCGGTCACTCTGGACTACTAGCTGCGTCTTCTAGCACTTTCTGTACGCTGAGTCCACAGCCTGGACTTTCATTCCTACCTCTGTATCCGCCCTAGATATGCGTCTTTGTCAGACACGCTCACAGCTGCACACACTGCAAGGCCACAAATGCCACCCACAGTAGAAGGAACAAACCATTCGATGGGCAGCCTAGAGAATGTGGGAGTCCGAAAAGCGAGGAGGGTGAATAAGTTATAATTATCCCAAGGAATATCGACACATTCCATTAGACGGTGTCAGCCCATGGAAAACACTGAAGAAGAGCAGGCTGTGGTGTGGACATGGGGAGAGTGTCCCCCAGGGGTGCCTGTGCCAGAAACTTGGCCCCAGAGTGGCCACGTAGACAGACAGTGGAAGGTTTCATGGGTAGAAATGGGGAGGTGACAGGGTCCCTGGGGACACTGCCTTCCAGAGGAATTATGATGTCCTTGGGAGACCAATTAGTCCTCAAGAGAGGATTGTTACGAAAGTGCAAGACACCGCCCCCAAACTCTGGCTTTTGGTCTGGTCATGTGCCTGTGCCCATGTGTCACCTGCATATCTACCATGATGCCATCCTCTGTAACCTGGCTTAGCCAAGGGGCCAAACCCAGGATGCTGCCCAGTCCTACACTTTCAGCCTCCACAGCAGTGAACTAACTGCTTGTCTTTACTAAGTATCTAGCATCAGGCATTTTGTTACAGCAAGGGAAATGGGGGCAGAACCAGAGAACACACCATCCAATTCCATTGGTGCAAAGTTTAAAAACAGGAACAATGAATCCATGTGATTGGGAGTTGCGTTTGTGGTTTGCTGTAGGACTCATGATTAAAAGGAGACCTCGAGGCTTTTGAGCTGCCAGTGTTTGCATCCTGACTTGACTGCTGCTTACATGGTTCTGCTCTGTTTTTCAAAATGACATGGTTGCCTTCCAGGGCATGGGCAACATCCTCAGCATCATTAGATCCCCAGTGCTCCGGACAGTCCTCAGCACAAATCAATCTGCTTGCTGAAGCTCTTGTCATGGAAACTAACTAGAGTCTTACTCCTCAGTGACTGGTTTCCAACCGCAAGTCACGGATCATTTGTGGGCTGAGGCATGAATGTACTGCTCAGGGCATCTGTCTGGGCTGCTCATTAAAATCTTCTCAGGGTGAGGACAGAAAATCCCCCTGCTTCTGCCACCTCCAGACCAATTAAATCAGGACCTCAGGAAGTGAGGCCTCACTATTGGGAATGATTAACATTTCCCAGATCATCCTAGTGGGCAGGAAAGGTTGAGAACCAGTGATTTTATGAGTATAACTATCATTAAAAATGAGATGAAATAGGACATAATAATAGGGCATTGTGTATAGTATTCTGCTTTGATATTTTCTCATGAGACCCAAGGGTGCGTGCGCACGTGTGTTGGGCTTCCATGCGGAGTTTATCTCTCATTGAGGGGAATGGAGCAAAAATTGGCAAAACCCTGCATTGCTGTTCTTTTTAGAAATCAAATAATTTAAAGGTTTTGGAACAACATAACTCACTTGATAAAATTTCAACACATGCAGAGTTCATTGGTTTGAAGCTCTGAATCAGAGATGCTGTCACAGTGACCTACAAGCACTGGAAACATAGACCTCTTTCTTTTAAGGAGAAAGGTCAAAGGAAGGTCAATGCTTGTTTGAGGCCCTTTAGAACCTATCTGGGACATATGGTCCCTTAGGACCTGAGAGAATGGTGCAAACCTTCTAGAAACCGATTATGGCTAAAGGCGCCACTGTTCTGCTGGAATGGGGTCATGACTTTATAATCCCAAAGGTGTGGACACATGGGGATCTAAAGGACACAAGGGCTGGCTGGCAGGAGGGTGATCCTTCAGGTTTGTTGTGAACCTGGCCTGAGTTTTGAGCTTCTTGGAAGAGAAGTGGAGAGAGATAGAGATGAGAGAGAGAGAGAGAGAGAGAGAGAGAGAGAGAGAGAGAGAGAGAGAGAGAGAGAGAGAGAGAGAGAGAGAGAGAAACTTCTCAGTTCTGAGATAAATCAGAGTGTAGCCTCTACCACAGGGTCCCTATGTAATACTGTTTGGTTGGCCATTTGCATATGTCTGAAAAGTAAAATTGGGTCCTTCCTAATTGTCCCTTCTGAGCAATTTAAGAATGGATGGAATACACTAATCTGCAAAAGTGGGTATGTCACCATTACTTGCTAAGTACTAAAAAGCACATGTAGAGCATCTGTAATACTAAGGTCACTGTGTTGGAGGTGGTAGGACAATCACTGTGAGGTATTCTTCCCTTTTTACATGACAGCTGGGAATGTGAGACACAGCCTGTGATAGGTGCTGCTTTTTTTTTTTTTAATATATCTTGTACAGGGTCTCACGATGCAGCTCGGATTCATAGTGAACCACCTGTTTTCAGCCTCACCAGCACTGGGATTACAGGCACGTGCCACCATGCCCAGAATGGGTCAGTGGCTCAGCGTATGTGGGGGTGGGCTGGTGCAGCATGAGATGCTGTGGATCGAACAATGGTCCCTGCACTTGCCTAAGCTGGCACTTAGTCCGCTGAGCTATCTCGCTGGCCCAACAGGTGCTGCATGTGAAAGATCCAAGTAGTCTCTTGTGTGTTTCCTACCCAGTGCTGCACTCACTCTGAGGATGTCACAAGGAGGCCCCACCTCTGTGGAGTCTGTGGCCTAAGGGGAAGGGGACAGCTCTGTACTGAGCACCTGAGAAGATGGAGTGAGATCTGAGGAGGCCAAGAGAGCTCAGTGGTGACTCATTCTGGTTCTCAAGGCCCCTGTGATGAATGTGCACTCCCAGCCCTCCCCAGCCAACATCTGAGAATTTATGGCCAGAGCCCTGCCCAGCTGTTTCCTCTGCACACTGACCTCAAGAGCTTTGGGCTAAGATAGTGGCTCTCAACCTCAGCCACACATTGGAACCATCTTGGGACAGTTAAAAAATAGTGATGGCAGGATCCAGAGGTCTGCATGCTATGGGCTTGCTTTTGATTCCTTGGTGGCAATATCTCTCCTAGATCCAGTGGCTGCGCTGGGCAAAATTCCCAGCCCTGGAGCCTGGCTGCAGTAGCATTCACATCCAACCCAGTGAACTTGGGTCATTGTTTTAACATCCTGACCTCCAGCTTTCGCATTTTTGACATGGAGGATACGCACACACGTGTGTTGGGCTTCCACGCAGTTTCACATTGAGGGGTGTGATGAAGCAAATGGGCAAAACCCTGAAAGACTATTCTCCTTGGAAGTGGAACAGTTTGAAGGATTGGGAACAACATAACTCATTTGATACTATTTTGACCCATGAAGAGTTCTCTAGTTTCATAGGTTTGCTGTGGGGCCAAGTGCACAACACGCATGTAAAGTGCCGAGTGCAAGGTGGGCGCTCAATAAAAAGTTTATTATTATCAATAGTAAAGTCAATCTCATGCATTAAGAATTTAAGTAAGTTAGAGGAGAATGTATGCTATTTCCCAAAAAAGTGTTGGTTGTAATATTTTTTTTTGAGACAAAGTCTCACTTTGTATCCCAGGCTGGCCTCAAACTTGTGGTGCTTTTTCTGCTTCAGTCCCCCAAGTGCTGGGATTACAGACATAATGCCATCGCATACAATGTGGTTATGATATTTAAACATATATAAATAAACATTTTTTCTTTTTTCAGATATAATCACACTTAAAATTTATTCCAAGGAAGTGATATTTTTGAAGCAGAGCCGCAAAATTCCAAGAAGTCATTTGAACCTGAGGGACAATATATCTTTCAGAATTTTGCAGATGAGACAATAGAGACTCAGAAAAGATGGGTGATTGCCCAGTTAGACACTTCTTTCCTTCCTTATTAGCAAAACCTCAGGAGAGCAAATGCTCTTTATTTAGAAGATCAATATGTTCAGCTATAAAACTATATTTCCCAGCTTCCTTTGCAGTGTGGGGTGGTCACGTGACAGTTCCAGCCAATGAGAAATAAGAAGCCACTGGGTGGGGTTTCTTGGAAGGCAAACGTGTGTTAGTGCTTATATACTACAGTGAATAATCAGTGCAGAACCATGCATCTCCTTAGGAATCCAGAAGCCTGGGAAAGTGATTTTTTTCTTGTCAGACACCCAGAAGACTTCACATTAAGTGCTGCGTGCTGAGAGTGAGTGAGACCTGCTCAGACTCTAGAGCCTGCTCAGGCCTGAGATGAACCAATCCATCTTCAGGAAATGTATACCACATGTAGGCTCTGTTCTTCATAGGGCAGGTGTATTTGTCCACAACTGGTAAGTTGTGGCCAGTGTTCCTCTCTTCATGTCCTCAATTTTTCACCTGACTTTTGCTAGAATAATGAAAGTTTTGATGGGTGTCAAGGGGTTTTATTTGCAAGAGGATAATTATGCTTGCATGCTCAAACACAGAGTGCAGACTTGGTAGTCTTCCCAAGTCTCCTCCTCTTCTTGGAGGCGAATCTTGCCTCTTTTGTGAATGGGAACATGAACTGCCTGCTTAGGGTGGAACAAGCCGGGCTGCCTGCAGATGGATGCCAGATGTGCAGTTGCCTAGCAACTGTGACAGGGTGGGAAACCCAGATCCCCTTCCCAGACTCTGAAACAAATGTCTTATAAGCTGCTGGTGCTGCTGCTCGGAAGGCCCCTGCACAGTCAGTGGTGACATTCACAGCACGTGCGCCATGTCCCAAGCCCACGTGTTCATTCCTAGAACACAGGGTCAGCTGCTGGCTTCACTGACGGACCTGTGCAGCAGTGTGCAGTTAGCTACCCTGATGCTCAGTCCAAGGTGTGTCCGGCAGGAGCCAAGGTGGCTTCTCCAAGGGAGGCAAGACCCAGGGAATGACCTCATCTTTCCCAGGAAAGCCCACTTCTTGGTCTACACTGGGTGATTTTCTCCAGCTTGTGACAATGTTAAGACGTGAAAACAGGCTGCACACGAGGAAGGATGAGTGTGATGGAGATGCATTACACACACAGAGGTCCTACAAAACCACCAGGTGGAACCAGGCAGAGGGCCAGGGGGTGGGGGATGGGTGCGATTAAAGCATGTTACGTGCATGCGCAAAAATGCTGAACTGCAACCTGTTACCTGTGCAGCCAATATATGCTAATAAAAAGTGTGGGAAAAAATAAAAAGGGAAACAGACGTGAAATAGCCATACAGGAGAGCGGGTCTGGAGTGAGCACATCCTGTCTGCCAGATGTTCTGAAAAGCCCGCTAGACACACAGCTTTGTGCTGGGATGTTTTTTTTGCCTGATTGTGGATAGCCCTGATGGAAGGGCCAAGGAGTGTGGAGGAGGGTAAAGGGTAGAGAAAGGGAGATGGCTGAGCCCCTATTTGGTGTCTGAAGGAGCTGTCGACACATGCAGTCTTCTAAAGAAATAGTTTCACTGTGTGTGTGTGTGTGTGTGTGTGTGTGTGTGTGTGTGTGTGTGTGGCATGGGGCTTGCAGGACATTAGACATATCCTGCAGAGTTCATGACTCTCCCAGGCTGTCACACCACCCTTTAGGCCCCTGAGCCATAAACATACTTAGCCTCCAAAGCCAGTGCGAACACCCCAGCTGCCTCAGGAGCTGCTGCTGATGTCCCAGAATGTCGTAGGGTGCAGTTCCCGTATAGGTCTGTGGTGGCCTGGAAAAGGAGATATCAAGTCAGGAGGGAATCCCCAAACAATGTGGAACAGAGGCTCAACTATGTATTGTATTTAAACTGTGCCTCCCTGGGAAGAAGATTAAGATGAAAGTAATGATAAGGTCAGCGTCTTTGTGCCTATCTTGAGTGAGCTTCCTAGCAGCCCATGCAAAAAGAGACACACAATCCATTATCATTATAGTGTCCAAAAGTAACTCAGTTGCTCAGAGAAGCAAATGTATTCTTTGATTAGAGGTGAGAGGGATTTATTTCCTAATCTGGAAAGGAGGTGCTATGAGGTGAAGAGTCACTACCTCCCCCTCATTAAGGCAGAGTGAGATTTGTTGCACTGGAGTTCCAAAGAGAAAAAGTCAGTGTTTGTAAGACCTAGGGCTTCATGAAGGTCACATATCAACCACAGGAACTTGCCTTCTCCTCTGACCTAGGGGTCTCAAGGGTGCCTATCACTTGAGGAAAGAGTTAGGGAGGTTTGGAGGTATCCATGGGGCAAATCTACACTACTCACAAGAAATTGAAGGCTCCTCCCCAGCCTGAGTAGAAAGAGTCATAGATGGAAATGTCACTCCTGAGGCTGCGTGGGGAGTGGCTGTTAGTGGGAGGAGCAAGCTGACAGGAGCGGAGGACCCTTTCCAGCTCCTCCCTGCCTGTCCTTCATGTCTGCCAGGTGGCTGATGCTGCCAGCCTTCTGGGAGTGGAGGTGTGGGTAGAACCATGGCTTGGTGCTGGCTCCAGAGCATTAACTTTACAAGTGACTTGAGAACAGGAATGGCCATGATATCTGATTGCCCAGGGAAGATGTTTTGCTTAGAAAATTAGAGAATCGGGGCCGGGGAGATGGTTCAGTGGATTAAGTGCTTCCCTGGCAAGTGCAAGGGCCTGAGTTCAATCCCCAGTTCTGAAAAAAAAAAAAAAGAAAATCAGAGAATCATAACCTGCATCTATGATTCTTAACTTTTTCATTGTTAAAACCATGAATGGATATTATTATTATTATTCAAATTAAAAAATGTGGGCTGGTGAGATGGCTCAGTGGTCTAAAGCACTTACTTAGAACAAGCTTAGCAAAGCACAGGGACTGCACTTCAATCCCCCAGCACCACATGCCAGCCAGCCCCGCCCCCTGGTGGGCTGAGCTGGCCACACACACACACACACAAATAAATAAAATTTAAAAAAAATTAAAAAATGCATTTATTTGATATAGGGTCTTGTTATGTAGCTTGGACTCGTAGTGATTCTCCTGTCTCAGCCTCCTCATCACTGGGATTATAGGTATGCACCACCACACCTGCTTTTGAGCTGGGAAAGCATGAAGTACCAGGGACTGAACCCAGGTCCTTGCACTTGCCAGGCAGGCGCTTAGACCACTGAGCTATCTCTCTAGCCCCTTGAAAGGATTTTATTTTACTTTATTTTTATTTTTTATGTATTTAGTACAGGGTCTACAGGGTCTCACTACATGGACTGGACTCGTAGTGATCCTCCTGTTTTTAGCCTCCCAAGCACTGGGATTACAGGCATGTGCCACCATGCCCAGATTCAGTGCATCCCGGGGGTGGGGCTGGTATGGCACTCAGGGGATAAAACCTGGGTCGCTGTGCCTGCCTAAGCAGGTGATTTAGTCCATTGACCTATCTGACTGGGCCTCTGAATGGATTTTAAAACATGAGCAGAATCACAACTCTCCATGAGAAGACACACAGCTCTGCCCAGCTTTAGGAGGATTGGGGGACCCAGAGAAGCTTATCTGGGGTACTGTGTTTTAGTCACTGCTCTCTGAGTGTGGGTCTGGCTGAGGGGTACTGGTGTGACATTCCAACTTCTGCAAGGATTATTTCTAAGTCACGTGCTGGGGCAACTGACTGCTAAAGTAGGTTTGTCACTCTTTTGAGCCAGAGCAGTGTACAGAACACTGGCCAGAAACTGAGCTGGGCAGAGGTGGTGGCGACTCTTGCTTCAGAGGGCAGGTGTCAGTCTCCATGTGGTCACAAAGTGTCACCAGGCACAGGGACAGTGGGTCCCCTGATCCTGCATAACTCTAGGAAGGGAAGGGAGCTGCTCCTCACCCCCAACAGGGCCTGGCCGCCAGGGAAGGGCCCAGGGAGCCCACGCTCACCACGCCTGCCTCGGGGTTCCTCTTGCGCCCGTTGCTGAAGGTGGATGCCAAGGTGGACGAACAGCTCTCATCGTACAGCGCCGTCCTGCCGTCGTTGATGGCCGAGTTGATGGAGATGGTCCACATGCTCGAGGCGTAGCCGTCACAGTTGCAGTCATCATAGCTGCCACCGTCCCCAGAGGCCCACACGTAGATACTGCCCTTGCCTCCGCGGCCCTGGACAGCGGAGAGATGCTGCTGCTGAGCCCAGCAAGGGCAGCCCCGGTTGGGAGGTTGTCCCGGGCCAGAAGAGGTCTGTGGGAGGGGTCCATCCCAGGGGAGATCCTGAGGGGGCCCATCCCAGTGAGGTCTGGGGGTGGTTTGCAGTCCAGGCACGTCCTGTCTTGTGGGGGGTACTAACCCTCTCATCCCAGGGGTTGGCCTGTTTAGGGCAGGTCATGAGGTCATGATTTGGGCTTCTTCAGCGACTGAACTAAAAATGGTTGGATTTGCTTGTTTTTTTAAAAAAAATATTTATTTATTTGGTACAGGGTCTCACTACGCAGCTCAGACTCATAGTGATCCTTCTGTCTCAGCCTCCTCAGCTCTGGGATCACAGGCATGCACCACCTGGTTCTGGGGTGGCTCAGCATGTGGTACTGGGGATCGAACTCTGGCCTTTGTGCTTGCCAGGCAGGTGCTTATGCGGCCAAACTATCTCTCCTGCCCCTGGATTTTTTATTGGATGAGAAATCATACCATTTTCATGGGGCATGGTGTGTAATTTTTTCTCAGGATAGATCCACCATAAAAATCACCTGGGTTTATAATTTAAGATGAAAATAATGAGACAAGAAAAACTGAAAATTTACAGATTTCCTTAAAATTTACAGATGAAGGGCTGGGGAGATGGCTCAGTAGAATAAGCCCTTCCCTGGCAAGCGCAAAGGCCTGAGTTCAATCCCCAGTTCCACCCCCCAAAAAAAATTATAGATAAGTCACTTATTCAAAAGGCTGTGGAATAGCACATGCTTATGATAAAAAAAACCAAAGTATATAGAAAGGCAAAGGAAAGATAACCTAGAGCTTAGTTAATAAATACTGTGATCTTATCCTTATTTATCAATTTCAGTAAAAATATAAGTGTACATATGTATCTGTACTTCGTTACATGTAAGATATATATGTTTATATACACGTAGATATTATAAATATGAAACATATATCTTTGCTCCAAAATAAATGAACAAACATATATATGTATATATATATATATATATATAATTAAAATATATAGAACCTTATAGGTGTGTATAGATATGCAGTTCTTTCTTTTTTTATCCACCTGGGCCATATGCTAGACTCCAGTGAAATACAGCACTACATGACATGTCACCTGTGCAAGGGAGGCCACATGTACCTAGGAAGTCTAACAGAATCAGGGTCACAGACAGCAGCTGGAGAGTTACACCTTTAGTGACGTGACAGTGGTCCTGACCGCATGGTGCCTGGCTCCAGGTGGCGAGCTTTGTCCTAAACACCACACTTAGCACTGTCCAGTGTCACCTCTTTCGCACTGATTTTACCCTTCTGCTTTCCTTTTCCTGTCCTGGGGGAGCCTTCCCCTATGAACAGCGACAATCAGGATGCGGCCATCTGCCTCTAGCCTCCTCCTGGGAGGCAGCGGGGTTGGGGTGTGGGATGGAGGTGATGGAAGAGGGAGGGAGGCCAGGAACCCCAGCTCCTCCCGCCTCCCGACAACAGGAAGCGGTATCTGAGATTGCTGCTAACAAGACTGGGAGTCAATTAGCCTGTGACTGATGGAGTCGCTAAATCAATACATGTTACCTAGGCATCAGCTGGGAATGATCCTAGGTCCTTGGTAAGTCTACACTACTGAGATGCTCTGGCAGCAGCAGTCACCATCAGAGCACAGGACAGAGAGAAAATGTCACCTCCACAGTCGGTGTGGTGGGAAGGAACAGTCAGAATCCCTGGCCCAAGTCTCAGGAAACCTGCCCGTTCTGTTCTCTCAGAGGCTGCTGTCCTGTGGCAGAGAGCCTGAGGTGCTATGCTGTCTGATGCTGGACATGCAGCCTAGTCTGATGTGCTGCTTCTCCAGGCAGGACTGCCCTCGACCCCGCCCTCCAGCTGACCACAGATAATAACAGTGAGGCTTGCTGTGTTCAGGCCAGGCTGGCTCAGATCAGCAGAAGGACCCAGGTGACCGGTGGACCTGTGGGCAAAGTCACATGGTATCTTTACAGTTTGCCATAACAGTGTGTTATGTCGCCTAGCTCTCTGATATACAGAGAGCAACTGTCAGTCCCCTTCTGAGAGTTCCGTGTTGGCCTGGAAGAATTGTCCACTAGATACCATGTTTCTAGGGTCACTGGGCTTCATCATTCAGGTAGAATACATTGAAGCAGGGCTGGGAATACAGCTTCGTGGCATAGTGCCTGCCTGGCAAGTGCAAGGTCCTGAGTTTGATTCCAAGTACCAAAGGGGGGAGAGAGAGAGAGAGAGAGAGAGAGAGAGAGAGAGAGAGAGAGAGAGAACACATGAAGCAATAATTATAATGACTGGGTTGGTTTTAGCACCCAAGAGTCCTTAGTGTCTTGGCAGGAAGATCCAGTAAGGAGAAAGCTCTTATGGTGGGCCAGAGATGAGTAGGTAGGGGCTCTTCGAGAGGACTGAGAGCTCCCCAGGGTGGGGCTCTTCCTCTCATGTCACATGTTCCTATTAAAACAATGCCCTTCTGCCCAACTGTGTCCCATCATCCCTGAATGGGGGTGGGCAGAAACCTGGTGAGAACACCTGGCACCCACAGGCAAAGGAGGCTCAGGTGGGGACAGAGTGGGAGAAAGTGAGGATGACGGCCTTGCACCCTTCTGGCACCTGTCGAGTCACAGGCTTCTCATTCTCTCCTCACAGTGCCACGTACAGTAGCCACGCCAAAAGGGAAATGGGAACAAAATTCACACTTCAGAAAACAAAACCAAACAAACAAGACTCCTCCAAACTAAGCATTGATGAGACTTTGACTCATTGGAGGGACAAAGGAAGCCTTGACCACACAGAAAGACAGCTTGCTCTTTCTTTCTCCTCCTCCTCCTCCTCCTCCTCCTCCTCCTCGTTTCTTCTGTCTTTTCTGAGACAGGGTCGCATTATGCAGTTCAAGCTGGCCTTCAGCTCCCCTTGTAACCCAGGCTGGTCTTGAATTTGCAACAATCCTTTTGTCTCAGCCTCCTGAGTGCTGGGATTATAGTCATATGCCACCACACCCAGCTGGAAAGACAGCTTCTATGCTGGGAAAACAGCCCCCAGACACATCAGTTTTCCCCACGTTGACTGACAAATCTAATGCACATATCAGTTGTGATTCAGTCACACCGATGCCTCCACACCATGCAGCTGGAGGCGGGAATTTATCCAGGAGCAAGAGGGAAAGAAATCTCACAAGCCCCAGAGGGACATGGCAAGTGGCCCAGAGATCAGGGACTCTGAGATCTTGAGCAGGGGCTGGATCTGGTCTCTAGGGTAGGACCTGGTCTGCAGGGTGGGCTGGCAGACCACCTGCACTCTTCATGTGCAGATTGCCTTTCTTCTTTCCTTTCCTTTCACCTCTTTTTCCTTTGCAGTTTTGGGGATCAGCCCCAGGGTCTGTGGGTGTATGTGGAGGTGCTACTGATGCTGTTTGACCATGATGCGTCTTAACTGGGGTCATTTTGGCTCTCAGGGAGATAATTTTGGTCCTCACAACTCTGTGTGTAACAAGAACCATAGGGGAAGAGGCCAGGGGTGCTACTGAACCTTTACAGTGTCTACAAGTGTCCTCTCCACTAGAGAATGACCCTGTGCAATGCCAGCAGCACCCAGCTGTTGCCAGTCACTTGCTGGGTGTAACCCAAAGTGGCTCTTACAAACTCATAGCTTAAAAACTCATGCAGATTTTGTATTTTGCTCTTCATGGAAAATTATGATACAGATTTCTCACCATGAGCCAAGGTGAAGGTCTAGCTGGACTCCAGTCTTGGAGCTCGCTGCACCTCTAGCATTTTGTCTCCACCTCAGGGAAGTTAGTCTGTCCTGTATTGTGGAGCAACACCTGGGTGAATCTCCTTGAAGGAGGGGCAGTTGTCTCCATTTTGGCTGAACCTGCCCTATTTCTATCTATTGATGTGTGTAGGGCTGGCTAGGAGTTTTCCTTGTCCCTTCAATTGGCTTTGAGCAACACAAATCAGTCCAGCTGAGGTGCTGAAGCGTAGTCTCTGAAGCAAAGAGGACAGGGCAGTGTTTCCCCACCCCTCCTAGCTCCCCAAAGAACACTGTGTAAGCTGAGATGGGATGGAGAGCTGTGTTCCACGTGGGGCTGGGATCAGCCTCGAGATAAGCGGCTATGACTCCCAGGGCATAAAAGATTACACATCAGAGCTGAAGTACTGACCCCAAAACATTAGACACTACCTCAGTCTTGACATGCAGATTACTCCTTCTGCATCTCATTCTCGTCACAGATTGCACAGGTGACTTCAGGCCTCCCACCCATCCCAGCTCACGGCACTCACCTACTTTCTGCCATTCTCACAGTCACTCATCCTCAAGCCACTCCTTATTCACAAATTAATAACCCCGGGCCAAGGTTTTTGTTTTGATTATTCATCATCGTAGGTGGACTTAGGACCATTCCCCCCCATTCCCCATAACTATACATACATCTTTATTTTTGCCATAGGTTGCACTGAAAATGATAGAATGGAATAAACTTGCTAGAATTCTAGTAACTTTTCCATGGGATTACAAATATCAACTTCCTGGGCCATAATGGGGACCAGGAAGGGCTCCTTCTACTTGCTAACCATGGGGTGGTGGCCAAGTTAGTGACCAGAGCAGGCCTTATGGCCGGGGGGGGGGGCGCTGAGGGGTACATGTGCCTGGTGGAAACTGGTGATGGCTCCCTTTCCTAAACACTCAGGTATGGGCCGGGGAGATAGCTCAGTAGAATAAGTGCTTGCCTGGCAAGCATCAGGGTCCTGAGTTCAATCTCCGGTACTGCAAAAAACAAAACAAAATAAAACAAAACAAAACAAAAAACAAAACAAAACAAAACAAAAACCAACAAAACACTCAGGTACAAAAAGTTTTATTTTCTGGTCACTTAGTTATCTTAATGTAACAGTGCTATTCTTTAAAAAGTTATTCTATTCTTTATTATGAACACCATACTCATTTTAGAG